TTTACAAATGTACCTTTTCTACATCCGCAATGAACGCGTTCACCTCTTCATCTAATGCAGGAACCGTTAAGACTTCTACGTGATCTTTCATCATGTGCTGAATATCAATGTCGGAAAACCAATCTCGCATATGCGCCGAGAGATCTATAACCTTTGACATACCGTATCTCAAGATGGCTCTCTCCACTGGACTTAGTGTTTCCTTTTTTTTAAGACCTCCGCACATTGAGATACATTTACAAAATAAATCTCATTGACGGATTTTCCTGAGGGTAGATCCCATTTTTGCGTATTAGTTGGCACAGAACTTATAAAACTGTCTAAATCAGGGGTTTCCTCGCCATCATCATCAAATGTCATTTGTAAGGAAGAAAAGCTCACTTCATCACTGTCATTTGCTTGAATAAAATTCGGTTGTGGTGGTGGCTTTGGTAGCACTGTACCATCAGGAAGGATGCTTCCAATTTGTGAAGAAACCCTCACTTTATCACTATTACTTGGTGGGGTGAAATTCGATTGTGGTGGAGTTCCAATAACGCTCACTTTATCACTACCACTTGATGAGTGAAATTCGATTGTGGTGGAGTTGGTAGTGCTGCACCATCAGGAAGGATACTTTCAGAATAATTCTTCTAGAAAAACGAATGATTTGATAAGCAAAATGCAAAAAAACCGCTAAAATCAGGTTATATTATACCTTATTTGGGAGAGTTGACTGGGTTGACTCCTCGTTTGGATAGGTTCGCTTGCTTCCAATTACTGGCGCATTGTTCTTCTGTTTTAAAATAAAACTTAGCTTCATCTCGTTCAAAACGGAATTGGCCATATTTCCCGTAAGAGATTGGTCGACAGCAAACTGAACCTACAAACCATGAATCAAAAATAAAATTGATAAGAACGTTTGACAAATTAAAATAATCGATTACAGGACATACCTTAGCTTGCTTCAACTTCATTGTGTCTACCTCCAATTTGACAATATTCCAGAACACGATAGTCAGAGACTACGAATGAACATAATAGCTCTTGGCACTGTGACATAAAAGCCTCTAGCCTTCACGCAGGCTTAAGATGGAGCCCACCGGATATAATAACCCATTCCTAGTCCGACACGTAGCCAGACTGCTTAGGTGGTTGTTTTTGATATAATAACCCAACTCCTCTCTATCCCTTGCATCAAAAATTAAATTTAAATCAAATAGATACTCGCCTTCAGCAATCCATCGTTGAGAATAGAAGCGGCCTTCTTCCACTTTTCGTCCGCTGCATTATTTGCGACATGTGAAATAAACTTTGATATCGTTAAGTGTTCGGTGTGCTTATCGTAAGAGAAGTCGGGTTTGGTTTTACGGAAATTCAGAATAGAAAGGAGACAAAGAGTATCAGGATCCAAAGCCGTCTCCCAACCTTCAAACTATAGTTTCATATTTTTTTTTTAAGGTGGTGAAATTCGTAAATAAACGAAATGTTTAAACTTCATACTATCTACTGAATGCTCTCCTTTTTCATTTCGAAAGTAGACATTTTAAACATTTGTAAC